GAGAGGAGGAGCTGGGAGCTCTCTGCGCTTCTCTACTGTTAGCATGAGTTTTGCCCAGTAGCTGCTCTTGCCCTAGCAGGATGTCAAGCCCACACCCTTGCTCTTTGCATAGGCAGCATGACCTTTGCTTCTGCCCTAGGACAAACTGTAGACAACTTCTCCTGAGACAATAAACAGGCTACTAACCTGGGACCAACACTTCTCTCAAAGGCCAGATGATCCCCTCCACCTTTCCCTATCTGCATCTCTCCATGCTGGAATCATGCAGAGTAGGGCTGTGTGGAAGCTGGGATCAAACTATGTTGAGCAGCACTAGCCTTGGTAGCAACTTCCAGGATGTACACGGGCCAGAAACATCGGTGCTCAGTGACTCCCCATGGATGGCTGCTCTCTGACACCTGTCAGCCAGCACCTTCACATTAATAGATGCTAACTGGGTCAGTATTACTTTGTGTTAGATGTAATAGCACTTTGTTCCCTCCTTCTTCTTGCTAATAAGTAGCTACTTCCTTACACCCCTTCTGGTCAGCCCTGCCTGCCAAATGACATGTCTGTCAAAATACACATTATTCAGAAACGGACCTGTTGCCAGCTCTGTGGGGCTGGGGGATGGGCTCATGTATCGTATCACTCTTCCCTTCCATACATCTCAATTTCCTGCTTTCTCCATGATTAATGCACATTTGCTTCCCTCTACATAATGTAGACAGCGAAGAATGAATTATGCTGCTTCATTACGTTAACTAGTAACGTCTTACCATACCTATATATGCTAATTACTGCTTTCTTGTGCCTTATGTTTGCAAATGAACTAGATAGAAAGAGTAAATACAGAATAATGGCACGTTATGCTCCCTTAATGTGTAACAGAAATCAAAGAGGGGGCCAAGAAAGTGTTTCTCGTACTACAGAGTTAGTCTAGTAGGTTTTCATAATTTTAAAGTCATCACTGTCCTTGTAACACATTTGATCTTTAATGTTGAGTTTCAGTAGTTTTTACTGAATTTGAGGCATAAAAGATAGACCTGTCCTGCCGTTGATAGAAAATAGATACCGGTGACTGAAAATAATTAACACATGCATTGGAAACACAGACTACAAGATATTGTTTGCACACTGAGTGGTTAATCTCTGCCTAAACGTTATACTAAATAAAACAAGCCAATATTGGCACTCTCCAGTATTGCATCTGGAAATAACAATATTATGCAGACTTGAACATATTAGTAGCTTGAAAACAGAGAGCAATAGCAGATGCTATAAAATACACAGAATCAATCCTGCTTGGACATTTATTGCATTAATACTATTTTCAATTTATTTAGCAGCAAAATGCTTTTATTACTGACTACTGACTATGTATGAGTGAGAATGTGTGTGGGTGCTTTACACACAAACATGTGCATGTTAGCCGCTCTGCCTGGCATAAACGATCTCTAAGAGGACAGCAATAAAATGTTTTGCATCATACAATATGGCATAAGGACAGAACACAAGAGAATATTGATGCCACAGATCCTGTCATAGCTTAGAGACAGGGGATAAAAACATTACCAAACAAAGAAACAGAATTTGACTAGAAAATTAGCACTATCAGCTTATCATTGAGAAATGCCATGGGATCTTTAACTATACACAAGAAACGAGCTGTTGGTTGTTGTTTGCCTTTTTTCCCCTGTTACTTCACAGAGCCTCCAGAAGCTTATGTAGAAAGAAAATCAATTAAATAAAAATGGACAATGATGAAGAAGTCAAGAGAGCAATTTTAAAATCAATATATTTCTTCAAAAAAAGCTCACAAGGTGGTTGCAGAATATGGAGTATAAGCCTGACATACCAAGCAGATACAATGTGAAGAACCAAAGGAAGATCCCACAATACTTTTGTATTTGTCAGCAAGGATGGCATGGAAAGATTTGTAGTAACCCAAGGTTGTGCTAGTGTAAACACATCAAACCAATCCTCTACTGCCTCTCCTGACTCCTAGAGGATAGCCAGTGAAGTTTCAGACACCAGGCTGTTTTTAAGTTGACAGTTTGGGTTTCAAAAACCCAAAACTTCAAGAGTCAGCCAAGAATGAGCTTTTGTAGTAGCAAACATCAGCACAAATATCACCAACTTCTGCTCTAAGTGCAAAACATAATTCTTCAATTTGCAAATAAACACATGCCACACACTTCTTATAAAAGGCAACAATTAAACAATAAGACTCCACCAAAGCAAAATATTCCATTGTGCATGCAATTTTCTCCCCAAGGAGAGGACTGAAGAAAGAACGAAACCCACATGTGAAATGTTAGTTATTTGTTTGACGCACTTTCGTGTGGTTCGCGAATACTGTGGTAAGGACAATACAAGAGAAATCATGGAAAAAAAAACCAACAAACAAATGAACTTCATCTTAATGCTTGCTTACAAGCTGATGTGGGCAACTTTATGAAACCATCAGCGATAAAAGTCACCTAAGTTGCCATAAAGCATGGTGATCTCAAACTATTTCACTGGATACATGATTGGCAGAAAAGGATCTGTGAATAGTGAATTGCTACAGTTAGCTGTATTTCAGTGCTGGCAGATTTGCCAACTGTAAAACTCAGTCCAGAAAATTTCTTGACCTTTTTTTGCTGCAAAAGGCAGAATTAAATATGACTCAAGTAGGCGGAGTATTGAGTCAAAAAATTCTTAGCCATATTCACTTTCACTTCAAACCCATTTCTGTTTTATTGCAAGTCTGATTCTGAAAACACAGTTCAGAAAGATGACTTTAAAGAAATTCCTTTTTTTTCTTTTTGTACAAAACATCTGTGTAGTGATAAACCATGATGAGCATGAGGCGTGCAAATACAACTCAGAGCAACTGGCACTTCTGTCAACACAGCACTGAAAACACTGATGTCATTTAGTATTTGTGGTAAGCCCCAAATATTCCTCTTGCAACAGAACATTTGTTGTCTTCTTCCTACGGAATTTCTGAGCTGGAATCAGGTCCAGCTATATTGTATTTTATTTCTTCCCTTACTCAAGGTTTTCTTTTTTGAATTCTTCAGTATCAGATGCACACAAGTTCACATCTGAACTTATACGTCAGGAAGTCCAACCTCTCCTTGAAAACAGACTTGCTGGTTCTTCTTTCAGCTGTTATTCTTTGCAGGTTTCTCATCCTTTCTCATGTTGATGAAACAAAACAATGTCGAGTCTTCCCTTCAACCAGTACAGCATTTTCATTGATTTTAGTCACAAAAAAATTGTAATGAGTTTTTAAATTAAATTCTTATTTGTCTCTAAGGTGTGCTTATAGATCATTAACACTAAATCTTTAATACTGCCACTGTGCTTTTTAACATCACCAGCATTGAGTATTTTTCCATAGGTACTGGCCAAATTCATGGCAGAGACAGCACCTGTGATACTCTGCCATCAACTGCCGTGAAGGGTGATACTGTACTGTACCTCCAGCTCTCCTGTGGTTAAGGTCCTAGGATCCTCAGGGATTATCATAAGAGCAGTGGCAGTGGCTGAAGGACAAATCCACAGTCTGTTTTCTGTCACTGCTACCCTGAGGTTGAGGTACTGTTCAGGTCTGTGCTGGTTGCCTCTGGACCAGGACTGGAAAACTGGGGGTAAAACCAAATATGAGTGGTATAGGTGAGATGCCTGGCTTGGGTTCAGAGGAGGAATTTGCTACTGGGTAGGCATCATAAGTGTGTTAAACTGGCAGCATCACTACTAGAAAAACTCAAAACCGCCTGACTTACTCCACAGCAGCCACACACTGAATGGTGACTTACTGCTGCTGAAATCACACAGGGCTCATGATGGGCACAGCCAGTGCTGTCACCCTTCACGCCACTCCCCCTTGCGGCCTTCACAGAGCTCCATATTACTTTCTATGGGGACATAGTAAAGGATTATCAAGCAGCTAATTTGTCATATACTGCCTGTTTTGAAATAAATACTAGTAGCTAGGGTGCCATGCAATATGGAGCCCCAAGTGAGTACCTGCAAAGACTGTATCTCTGCTTTGAAGAGCTAATCTGGGAAAACAGTCTCACAGACCTGGAGATCAAGCAAAATACAAAACCTACACAACACACTGGGTTGCAATTTATCTCCACGCATGAGCCCTGTTTTCTAACCCAAATTCATCGTAATCTACCGAAGGCCCTGTTCTAGCAATGAGCTCTGCTACAATGACCCCACAGACACACGTGAGGCAAAGCTGAGACAGCTTTTTGGGATACTCTTTTGTCTATAACTTTGGTAAGCATCACACATTTGGAAGTATTATGATTATATCAAATGCAGCTTCATAAGGTACTGCAAGTCTTTACTGGCTACTTGACAGCCGAAGTCCTGTCAGGACTTAAGTTCACAGCACTAAAACCCCCTAAATATTTTCCATAAAATATCATGCTTTTTGGAGTTAATTTTGTATAACTTCCTCTGTTTTTAAAAAGTGCTGTCTGATTTATCAGGAATGAACATCAGAGATGATCGTGATCTGCTCATGCCAGCAGTGGTGTCTGGGATCAGGAAACTGACACCAGCAGACACACACAGCACTCAAAAAAAGCAAAAAATCCCCCAAACCGAGTGCTACATTTCAGTATTTACATTTCAACATGTACGTTTCAGATACTTCAAACTAATATTCCCTGGCCTTTCACATATGCATCTGTGATTTGTTTATAGAAAACCTTGAAAATCAACAAAAGGAACCAGAACAAAACTAATAATCCCTTCCTTCAGCAAATTAAACTTCACTCTGCTAAATTAGTTGACCTTCAAAGTTTGCCCCAGGGGAACCACAGAAGATTGGAGGGTTTATCTGAAGAAACAAAGATGGAAACGGGGATGAAGAATGTGAGGTGGCCAGTGGAACGGATGGTCCTGGAAAGGTTTGTTTAGTTACCTTAGAAAAAGTTCATTGATAGGGGGAACTGCCACCACCTCTAAATAAAGGTACATTTTTCTGTGACTTATTTACACAAAGGGACTTATTTACCTTCACAAGAATGTGTGTAGAGAGGAGAAAGAAGTATATTTCACAACTGAGCACAAAGTGTGCTGCACCAGCTCAGACAGGGAACTGAAAGAGAAGGCACTACAGAAAGACGCTGTTTTTTTCAGTAGTCCAAGTTGAGGTACAGTGAGAGTGTTACTCAGCTAACACAAGTGGTTTTCAGAGTGGATATTATTCAAACCACTCCAGACACATCAACTGAGATGACGCAGATGTCTAAGAATTGTAACTCAGCTCTAGGGTATCTTCCCTCTGGTATTTCAACACATTGGGTTTCAGTTGCAATGAACTCATACAGCTGAACATCTAATAATAAAAGAACTGGAACGAGTAGAAAAGACAAGTGATTGTGTGGCCGCTTTAAAACATTAAATATGGAGCATTCACCTGTTCCTGCAGACTTACGGTCTTATCCCCTTGCCAGAAGGGATTCAGTGCCACACCATATGGACACTTTTGGGACAAACATGCATTTCTGCTTATTTTGTAGTTTTTTTTTAACGGGGGCTATTGCTACACAATTTTCTAAAACTGATGATACAGGCTACCTGTGTGATGGTTGATGATGGCAACTGTGTGAGTAGGCATAGGTACATTAAAAAGACCCCCACAGTTTCTCAGACTACTTAAGTGTATCGGTAGTCCTGACTACTAGGGAGACTTGGACACATCTTGATACAGCTGTGGTTTTGCTAACTGTTACAGGCAGATTGTCACTAGTATGGTTCTTGCAAAGAGGTGATCTGACTAATATCTGAAAACACTTACATGCTGGTCGCATTGATGGAGAGCAGGAAGCGTAACCTTTGACCAGAGAAGTAATAACAGTGTAAACTTTTCTAAAAACAAAACCTAGAGGAATTAGTGTCCAGTATCAGTCACAAAGTGCATTTGGGCTCTCTATAAATCTTGCTGAAGCATTTAATGAAATGGTCATCTTCCTGTGTAATTTGAAACAGATGTAAGAGTTTTGCAATGAGGATGTTTAAACTTCCAGAGGACTAGGGCAAGAACCACAGGAGCGTATGACACTGAGGAGTGGGGGGATTTCATGGGCTCTGACCTGGTACCTCAAACCCCTATACAGGACTTTGATGTCTGGAAAAGCAAGTAAGAGTCAGCTACCCCAACATGGGATCTTCAGCATCAGTATGCTGAGCAGGGGCCACCTACCTCCAATTGCTTGGAAACACGGAGGAAAGCAGGCATAAACGTAGGTGCTCCTATTTTGCGCATCCCTTTGTTTTTAACACTCCCCACATATATCACAGTTCATGGGTCAGAAGATTTTTCTGGAATGTGGAAAGTTTAGACTCAGTTGCCTCTATCCCTTTGTGATCCGACTGATTCAAATCTATCTGCTCCATTTCCAATAGAGTCTCTCCAAGGAGCATTAGATAAGGACTTCATCCTAACAACACTGAGGCATCCTCACTGGCTACTACAGCTCATGGGAATGGCTGGTCTTTTTCTTCCACTGCATGTACTGGTGCCAGGCATTACTGTCATAAGAAATCAGCTTGTAGGCACAAGTCTATAAATATTAGTAAACAAGTGATGGACCAACAAACACATTTTAAATTGGCTTCCATTAAGTAATTAAAGAAGGTTTATTCTAATATGGTGTTTGGCATCAGCTAGGTTGCTTCTTTCTTCATCTGAGGAAGATTAATTGGGCTATTTTCTACTTAACTTTCATCATGATAGTACATTTTTACTGTGATTTTCTATTTAATGTGCTTTTACCATGATTTTTTTAATCATCATATCTCGGCTCCCCTACTGTGAAGCTTTTTCATGACCTTGACAAAGATTTCTTTTTGATGTCAGAACCCCTGTGTGAGCAGGTGTTACATGCTTTGGCAGTGATAGAATTATTATTTCATAGTCTATAGAAGCTCTTAAGCTGCCTTCATCCCCATAGCATCTAAACTCCATTGAATAGCACATTAACTGGCAAGACTAACATCCATCATTTTTCCTTCGTTATCCTCTCTTGAGGAAGTGTGTATGTAGGAGAGCATATGGTTTGGGTGGTGTTTTCACTGTGTTTTGTTTGTAAATGTCCATGCTGCTAGGTGTGTAGCTCAGAAAATTCCTCCCCTCACATGGAGCTGAGGCTGCAGAGAAGGTTCTAAAAGTCTTTCTCTCCTGCCATTTTTTACACTCGTGCCTTCAGTCAGTCTCTATCTTGTCCAGAAATGAGATTTATCGTGACAAACGATCTAGTCCAAGTGTTAAAAAAAGGGATCCTTTATTAGAGCATTTTATACCAATAAAGTGCTTTGCATCTATAATAGAGGTTTCCAAACTAAGAGGTTTTTTTTTAATATGGTCTCCCAAGTGAGCTGTAACACTGGCAGCTACAACCGTTACTCTTTACATACATAGCTACCAATAAAAAGACATTCAGTTGGAGTTTTGCCACTGAGTAAAGCTGACGATTGCTATTAAAGTCCATACTTAACATTATGGTTTACTTGTTGTTTTACTTATTCAGCTTCATATTCTAGGAACATCTCCAGGATAAGGGGATCCTAATATTGATGATACTAGAGTATTCTACTGAGAGGGTACTTAACCTTGGAAAGACAGACAGTCACTCTTTTATTAAGAGATGTCATGAAATCAAAATATACTTGACAGTGTTACCATGCTGACATCAAAACATTGTATAGGTATCACTCCCTTACCACACTTTAAAGATAGATTAGGAGAGCAGTATTACTACCCATCCAGGACATGACGATCCTGTGATTGTATTGCTTCACCTCATTCATGGTCTCACTTCTGTGGTGCTTCTCAGTCTTGGCTCACTGTCACTCCTCCTCAGGGAGAGGAGCTGCCAAGTCCTCTGGCACCGTCATTTACCCTTGTAGTAAGATACAGCAGCAGATTAAACAGGAAACAGACTCACTTCAGCGTGCCATCAAATACATACATGATAAAATGCTCCTGGACCACAAAGAGTTCTCATCTAACCTAATGTGGCCAGTGTTAGTGCAGTGAAATACCAGCTCATATGATTTTGTTATCAGTTGTGGTGAATTTATAAAGCTTCAGTTCTCAAACTGGTGATTTTTTTGAGAAACACAATTTTTTACATTACTTTTTAGCCCCATGAAAACAGAATTCAAGTATATAAGGCGCCAAAACCATAAAGAAAACCAAAAATGTATTACTGTAAAGAAAGTGTCATTGTCTGGGGAGGGCTACAGTTGTGATTTTTGAACTCTCAGGTTTGATACTGCTAACGTTGCCAAGGATTAAATAGCCCTTGTTGGCAGACCTATATGGAAAACTGGAACTCTCTGAAATTGCTGTACCTCCCAATTTTCCCTGCTTTGTTTCCTATTTCACAAGAAATCTCCATTAATTATTCTCCTTACTCTTGCCACAAAGCCACTTATACCATTTCCTGTTGGCTTTCATCCTCCACCTCCTGCACAATTAGCAAAGGAGTTCTTATTCGTGCTCAGATTTCTTTCCACTGTTCTGCTCTCTCCCCATCTCTCCCAGCTCTTTCCTTTTCTTCTGCTGTCTGATTTTTCTCCATCCCCTCACTCCTGACGTTAGCCCTCCTCTCCACCTCCTGCGCTCTCCCTCTCCCATCGCACCCCTCCATTTTGTTTCCCTGTCAGTGCAGCAGCAGAAATCAAACTGACGAGCATCCCAGTCCCTTGCTGGTATTTCAGAGCTCAGGAGCCAGATCAATTTTGTGTGCTGCTAGCGGAGGCAAGGGAGAGGTGGGACGCAGCCTCCGCCAAAGGGGAGGGAGCAGGGAGGCAGCACAAAGGGCACAGTGAGGAGGCAGGCAGAGCGAGGCTGCATGGCGAGCAGGAACATGGCTCCGACATGGAGACATGCGGCTCCATCCATCGATCACCATGCTTCATCTCCCCTCTTGCAAAGGCTGTGAGCAAACGTCAGTGAGGGGATACCTGCAGCTGAAATGCCTACGTGCCTGCGGAGGCTGCACAGGCAGGTCTCCGTGAATTCTCATCGAGAGCTAGGAATGACTTCAGGATTTCCCCCGTAGGGGACTTCTGGAAGGAACTGAAACGTGTGAGTGTTTCAAGGCTTGACTGACATTTCAGATTGACACAACACAGATTGCTCCCAGGTCTGGGGAGCGCAGAGTGGCCAATTCCTTTTTCTGTGAGCACAGCATCGAACTTGCTACCTTGCCAATGTTGGGATATCCTGAAGATGGAAGGAGCAATGTACACTACATCTACAGTCTTATTATTAGCAGTTGGCACCAGAGAAATTGTTACTGACCCAGTAATCCAAAGAAAACAACTTTTAACTTCCCATGTGCTGTGATGGTGGAGCTCGCTGTTACCCTCCTGTGTTCTGGGGTTCTTCTTGTAGGGTCTGTTCGCCCTGGCACTGGGTGTATTTCCAAAACTTCCTCTTTCTTTGGTAAAGAGATCACATTATGCTGAACAGCCTTGGTACGCAGCAGCAAAAATACACACTCCTGAGCATGAATATCTTGTATCCTGCTGTGGGGAATACTGACTTGATATTTCACTGGCATGAAAACCCCATACTGTAATTTACCATATCAAAAGCCATACACCCCATACATCCCACAGTCTGTTGTTTGTGCACTGACTCATCTACAGCAACCCCTGTGTTGTTTCAACCCCATTCAGTATGATGCTGAGCTGCCATTCACAGCTACACACATTCTTCCCATCACCCCATTCAAGTATTCTGCCTACTGGACCCCTAGAGCAAAGACATATCAGGAAAAAGACCCTGAAAACAAAAATGAATTAGAGGAGGTAACCAAATGCTTTCATTTATATCTTTGCTCCACTAGATGTGCACAAAACTGAAACACAGCAGCCTCAATAAAGAGAAGAGGAAATGACTTCTGGCCAATACCAAATTAATCTGTAGCTCTTGTTGTCACAGAAGTCACACAGTGCATTCTGTGATAATTCTGAATAGGTGCTGCAGAATTTGCAGTCAATGAATTATGATATATATTTAGTTTACATATTATTTTCCATAGAATTCTCTGTCCTTGTGTTTTCTGCAGGGAATCTAGGCAGTAAAAATATCAGAATTGATTATTCATATAGGCCAATCCCAGCAAACAACCTAAACTCCTCTTAAACCAGTTTCGAGCTTCAAGGTTGCTTGGCCAGGCTTTCTGAAGACCAGCACTCAACTGTTATGGACAATATCAGTCCTACTTTACATGAGTAGTCCTTCAGAACTGAACCCTGGAATGAGCAAGGCAACCTGTTATGGTGCTTCTGGATCAGTATGGAAAGGACAAACTGCAGACCCCTTTAGATGTTGCCATGCATTTCCAAATAGGAAACATTCCCTCCTACCTGAAAAGTCTGTGTGGCCAGGGAGACTTGACACAGGTCTTGCGTTCTCTCCATCCTAAGCTAACCCACGTTTGCAATAGATTTCCTTCTCTTTCTTCATTGAAACCTACAGTCCTGGGGAAGAAATTCACTTTCTGCAGACAAAAAGGAGCACTGCACTAGTTGAAAGTACGTAGCCTCTGGTAAACAGCAGCTTTTGCAACATGCAAATGTGAAGGCATAGAGATGTACCAACACTGTAGCATCTCTGCAGGGACTCAGTACAAATTCACAAAGGAAGGGACTCTGCCACAATTTAAAGCTCATACAAAATAACTTGTCAACCCACAATACCCGGGCTTTATCAAATAGATATTTTAAGAAGAAGTCTGGAATTCTGATTAATGCTCATGGTGTTGATGGGTTGTTCTCACTGCAGAGCAGTCCTGTTCTGCTTTGACCAGAGAAATATTTTAGGCCCAATTCATCCTCACTGTCTCTAGCAAAATTAAAGTAACAGCTAGAGCCTGTTCTTGGCCTATATTTTTTCCATCCTCATTTTAAATAATACACTGTATTTTAGACATAGCTACTTCCTCTAAGACACAGTCTGATAATGAATGCATCATTAATCTATAGTATGGAGACAGATAGATATTTGACAAAATACCTTGTAAATGGCTCTAACAGAGTAATATTGACTGATTCTGTCAATACTTAGCAAGGCATTTGTTGCAATATCACAGAATCATAGAACAGTTTAGGTTGGAGGGGACCTCTGGGATATCATCTGCTCCAGCCTCGTGCTTAAAACAACTCCAACTAGATGGGGCTGCTCAGAGCCTTGTCCAGTCATGTTCCGACTGTCTCCAGGGATGGAGACTTCACCTTTCTGGGCCCCTGCTCCAGCATTTAACCATCCTCACGGTGAATTCTTTTTTCTTACATCTAATAAAAATATCCTGTGTCACAACTTGCAGTTGTTGCCTTTTGCCATATCACAGTGCCTTCGAGAAGAGTCTGTCTTCTCTACAGCCTCTGATCATTGCAGACATCAATAAGATCCCCTCTCACCTTCTTTTCATAAGGCTGAATAAGACCAGTTCCCTCAGCCTCTGTTTGTATGTCAGCTGCTCAGAGGCCATCTTGGTGGCCATTGCTGGATTTTTTCCCAGTGCACCAACATTCCTTTGGTGACAGAAAGCATTAGACAATATCCCAGATGTGGTGGGAATAATTGCTGCCCCTGTCTACATGGCTACTATCATGCTATTATGGTACAGTATGCTGTTGTCCTTATTTGCCACAAAACCACACTGCTGTCTCTTTTCAGCTTCTTGTCCACTGGGACCTTTATGTCTTTTTCTGCAACACTGCTTCCATTGTCCAGTCTGTATGGTTGCACAGGATTATTTTGTCCAAGTTGGAAGAGACTGCACTTGCCTTCCCAGAGACTCATGAAGTCCCTGTTAGCCCATTGCTTCAATCTGTCAGGGTCTCTCAGAATAGCATCCCTTCCTTCCAGCATATTGACTGCTCCCCATAACTTCGTGTTGTGCACAAACTTGCAGATTATGCCCTTCGTCCCATTGTCTGGGCTGTTAATAAAGAGGTTGAATGCTCTGGCCACAGTGTCAATGTAACACGGAACCACCTGCTAGCTGGACTTTGTACCTCTGAACACAATCCTTTGAGCCTGATAGGCCAGCCAGCTTTCTTCTTGCCTTAACATCCACTTATCCAAGACAAATCTACCAGTTTACCTACAAGGATAGTATGGAAGACTTTGACACAGGCCTTACTAAAGTCAAAGTAAACAAAATCCACTACTGTCCCCATGTTCATATAGGCAGTCATCCTATCAGGTTGGTCAGACTTCCTGCAAATCAGAGTACTGCTCTTGTGCTTTGAAGAGATTGTCCTTGCAGATAAAATATTGATGTAAATTAAATATATGTATGCACTTTGAACACTGCTTAAGAGTGTACACTTTCATTTAACATATTTAAATAATTAAGAATTGGAAAGCATACCTGAAGGAAGGTTTCCTTGGTGCTGGGTATTTGGCATGCCTGGTGCTATATACTGGTTTCTCATTCCTGAAACAGAGAAGTGGCACAAACAAAATCAATGCAAGCTTGCCGCCAAATACCTGCAGATTCATGTTGTCTGCACAGGCAGTTTCTGTTGGGGACATTTCAGCAGCATCACAGGTGCTGACAGCCACTTGGAAAATGGGATGATGGTACAAGCTTTGAGCAGTACGAATTGCAACAGGAATGAATTGCAACAAGAATGAATTGCAAATCCTCAGCTCTTCTCCATAAAAGGGTGACTACACAGGTGAGATGAGTTGAATGACAAGCACTGTGAACTATATCCAAATGCAGCTGGAATATACTTTTGCTTTTATCCCCCCTCTCTAATGTAAATTACCTGCAAAGTTCTTCAGAGGTCTGGTTTTTCCTCTGTGTTGAGACCTCATCATTACAAAGCAGGTATTGGTCTGAATGTAAGCTTTCAGGAAATCATTTATTTTCAAAAGTATTTATATGGTGTTAGAGACTCCTATGAAAGAAAGATCTTTTTAGGAAGTGACTTGTGCTCAGTGTGAGAATACAGTTAAAACCTTTGGGCTACTGTGTCCCACCTACGGAACACCTGTTGCTTTATTAGAGTGACATAGAAGAATTTGTTAATTCTGCTGTGAGCTACATTATTTCCAATTGTGATAGAAATCATGGACTGCTTCAGGCAATAACTACGCTCTGAAAAATTTGCCTTGTGGCAGGACTGTGCTTCTGCTGAGCCCCTGGCCACCTGGGCAGAGCTGCAGAACCAGTCCCCTGCAGCACATCCAGCTGATCCACGGGTCAGCGTGCGATAGCCCATGGGGGCCCTATCTGAAAGCTGGACTCGAGTTCTTAACAGAGTACAGGTTATTTGAAGCACTTCACGTGTGTACTGTGCATATAAATAAAACATGAAGCATGCTATGCTAGCTCCAATTAGGAGCAGCAGCACACTTGTGTGAAATGGAACTGCATTACCATACAAACCGCAGGAATTTTCAGAAGCATCTAAGAAAGACTTTTCCAAATATTTGCAGACAAACCAAAGGGGAGACTAAACAACATGGGGTGAGAGTAGTAAAATGATGTTCCTCCTCTTTTTCCTAGAGAAAGAAAGGCTTAGAAGGAGCTGCAGCTGTGATTACATATAGAGGAAAATTCCAACAGTGTGGTAAATTATTAATTAATATTGATGCACTATCAATCAGTGTAGTGCATTTATGGAGTATTCAAAATTAGAGAGAGGCTGATTAGCAGTCTAGAGGGAAGGCCATTTGAGAAAGCATGGCAGAAACTTCGGCTTAGATTTGCAGTGGTATTTATCTACAGATTTCATGGGCGGCATTGAATCTGTGCATCCAGTGGTTTCATAAAGTTACTTACTAGGTACTTCATAGTGGAAAAGTAAATCTGACTAGATATAATATGTTTTTTCCAAATTAAATGTAATGGAAATGCATACACTGGACAGGGAGAGGAGTTCCCGCAGACCAATCCATCACACCAGTTCCAGAATTACTCATTTGATATAAGAAAATCCATACTTCAGTTATTTAGCCAAGTGAATATTGAATTTCTATTCACCCCAATAAAACATATTTCTCTGTCAGGGAAATATAAAAATACAGCTACTATGACAGTTAAAGACTACAGTGATTTTGGATATTATGTGAACAGGGATGCACATGTATACCAATTTTCTCCTGACATAACATCTATTGAACAACAATATAGATTAATTAAAATTGTTTCAGGAGGTTTTCTGCAGCATTTATGGTACTGAGATTCAACTTCATACTTATTAAAATCTATAACTTTCAAGACTATTTAGAACAGTAGTGCCTAAGTTTCAAAATTGCATTTCTGGATTGAGAAGACTGAACCACAGATGAAATTTTACTTATGATTTCATAATTTCAAGCAATAAATCAATCTCTTGTTGTTTTTGTTAAAACAGTGCCTGCTGACAGCCACTTTTATGGAGTGGTTTGTTTTATATTGTTTCAAGGCCAGTCGTCAAAATCAACTTTGATTCTTCTCTTTAGGATTGCTGTAAGGGTTAATGCCTGCATGATGTCGGTTCATTCACATTTCCTATTCAATCTCATTGAGAAGTTAAAAAAAAAAAGCAGATTTGAAACTGTAATTCAGATTTCATTTTAAACTGCTTATCTCTGTTCACCTTCTGATTAAACATAATTTTTTTTTGAACCAAAATGTCACATTATCTTTATGACCACGCTCTCCATCAAAGCAGTAAAAGCTTGATGGTTTACTGCAAGAAGGGTTCCCCTTACTGGTGACTCCGAGTACTACAGCACTCGACTCCCCAGTACGGTTTAAACCTCTAGGATGATTTAACCCGAAGCAGCTGAGGGTTTTACATCTTGATTTGAGAACCCCTCACGCAGTCTTTCTTCAAGGCTTATGCATATGTTTTGCAAACACATGCCAAATCATCTTCAGTGTCTTTTCCAACCTAGTTGATTCTATGATTCTAAAAACTGGCTACTAGTTACTGGATTTGCAAGTGTTCTGATGATGTTTGGATACTTTTCAAAAGGAGGGACGTATCTGTGCATGTGAGTAGCCAAACATTATGTGCTAAGATACCAATCACATTATTTACAGCTATATTACGTAGACATGATAATTATATAGGATGGTTGGAAGATGTTATTGGCAGCTACCAAGATGAGACAGTGACAATCATGTAAGTCATCCTGTAAGTACTGCTGAAACTGTTTTCCCCTGCTAGTGTACAGAGAGAATATAGAAACCTCATGGCTTCAGAGAGAGGGGGCTTGCAAGTACAGAGGAGGGCAACACTTCAGCAGTGCATTTTCACACCATCACACAAAGAACCCCGCAGGAGAGAGCTCAAGAGATGAAGCTGTACAGCTAATCCCCCAAGGGTATCTATCTACTCCTCTGCTTTTCATTTGGAACATTGGAAGAAATGTTTTTTCATTTCCCATGGATGCAACTAGGCACTTCACACTGAAATTTCTTCTGCTGGTATACACACATCCATAGCATACAGAGAACACAAGGTGAGAAGGTCTGTAGTTGTACTTCCTCACACTTAACATAAAGAACTAACCTTAATTTGGAAGGCTGTTTTAAATGGCTGCTGCAGCCAGGTCAGAGGCTTAGGAAACATTTCAGGTGCCTAAGCTACGCAGGCTCCTCTGCTGGGTGGTTCTTACTGTTACATAGTTAGGATCAGCTCTGAGAGAGCTGGGGGCTGCACTGCAGCATAAGATGAAGTATGTTCAACATCCATCAGCACTGAAGGACAGAGCTGCAGCCTCTCCCACTCTTCCTGTCACATATATTTGTTGCATATGCCCCTATACTTATTCCCTGCTACAGGCAGATGGGCTGTCAGAAAGCTGACTTGGCAGAGAAGGCTCCTTCCCTCACCAGAGCTCTCCTGTGGCTGGATTGCTGGACTGCAAAAATCAAACAAAAAATCCCATAGCCTTCACTATCCCCTGCATTCAGCTCACACACAGGTACATGCCTCAATTCAGGCTCAAGTCAACTGCCAACACCTTCCCAAGACAAAAAGCTCCCCATACAGTAAAGAAAAGTGAAAAAGTATAGCAGCAATGAGCATGCTAAAGCCCAAATCACCAGCATCACAGCTAAGCTTGATTCTGGCTAAGCAGTGAATGACTGTTCCAATCCTAATTGAATCCCGTGCCACAGCCCCAGTGAGGCCACAAGGCTTCCTGGGACTCGACTGTCACATCAGGCAAAGGCAGACCGATCCGGGAAACCCCTGCTGCCAGGACATCCCTGACCAATAACCACTGCTTCCATGGCTCATTTTGTAATACCCCTTGCTGTGGTGGGTTTCTTCCTTTTAAGTCCCACCTTCAGGTTTTTAAGACGTTCAGCTGTGGGGGTTGGTTCAGAGGCTGTATTTTTTTAACCATTTCCAGTCTGAATGGAAAAAAGACATTCCGTAATGTCTGAGGTTGGAATAGCTTTTATTCTCGTGCACTAGAGGCAGGCTCGGTGAGTATAGTACCCCATTAACTACCAAGCTGGGATTCAGAAAAATACATGAACTTCTCAGTTACACAACATCCCAAAGTCACATTCTTAGGGGAAGTTACTAAACTATAGATTCCCACTCATTTCTGAGGATTTCCTCTTCATTGTATGTGATAGCAACAGCACTGGAAATCTACACTGGATTTCCAATGAACTCTGAGCCTAAAAGCTGTGAAAGCAAGTCAGAACACTGGAATGCTGCTATGAAATAAAACAAAGCACAACAGCCTGATGCTTCCTTTTCCATAGTCATTACTGTCATCACTTTTTTGCCTGTGTTCTCAGGCAAAAAGATTAAACTTCTAACGTTTCTTAAGTATCCCATATCCTCTGCTCCAAGCACCAATCTATATAGGAGTGCTGAAAGCTGACAGAGGAATCTCCTGACAAGAGAATCAAGCTCCAATGAAGTAACTTTTAATTTAAAGCTGAAAAATCTTATACGATGGTTGGCAGAAAACCGTAAAGTGTTACTGTGCTCTGGCTTGCTTTCAAAGGAAAGAGAATCTATCCTACAAATGGCTAAGCGTCTGAAGTGTCTGTCTGGCCAGGTTGTATGTTGTAGCTAATTTAGGCATCTGCTTTTGATGGTGCCTTTCTGGGCTGTTGTAGGAAGTAGCCTGTGCTAATAGTCATGCATGCCATTTTTGGCAAGGGGCCTGTTTCCTTAATTAAAGTAATTTCATTCATACAATCAATAAACACACATTTCCTTCCTAAATATATCTTGAAAAAACATTAATTTAGATAAAGTGTAATATAGTATTTGGCCCTGCTATAATAATATTAAATAAATATTTGAAGGAGATTAGGGAACATCTTTGAGAATATCAATAGCTTCACTATGGGATTAATAGTTTGTCACATACTTAATTTAAAAAAAATATTTAAGCCATGTCAGAACAAGTAACAAGAAAAGTCTGGATTAAGGCTGCTTCTTTGGTCCCAAATTTAACACCACC